AAGCGAGTTTCAGAACAGTCAGGGATACACAGAGAAATCCTGTCTCAAGACAAAAACAAAGTGAACTGGAAAAATGCCTAGTGAGATCCCACACTAGAGCCTGGAGCGATGACTCAGCAGTTAAGAGCCCTTGCTCCTCTTCCAGAGGACCAGTGTTGGATTCCCTGCACCCACGTGGTTACTCAAAACTGCCAGTTTCAAAATCTCATGCCCTCTTCTCGCTTCCAAAGTGGCTGCATGCAAAAGGTACACATGACCTGCGAGGTTGTCAACTTGACTACACCTGGAATTAGCTAAAACTCAAGTGGCTGGGTACACCTGGGAGGGTTTTTCTTTTTCTTTCTTTTTCCTTTTCTTTTTCCCTTCCTTCCTTCCTTTCTTTCTTTCTTTCTTTCTTTCTTCCTTGCTTGCTTTGGAGCCTGTCCTGGAACTTGGTCTATAGACCAGGCTAGCCTCAAACTCACAGAGATCTGCCTGTCTCTGCCTCCCGGGTTCTGGGATTAAAGGCGTGCGCCACCATCGTCCGGCTGGGAATTTGTTCTTAATGAAATCATTGTAAGTGGGAAGGTCCAATTTTAATCCGTATCCTTTGAGGTGGGAAGAGCCACCTTCCTTCTGGGCCACACCTTCTGGTGGAAGCCTCGATAAAGGATTTGGAGGAAGGAAACTCATTCTCTCTGCCTGTTTACCCTCACTCTTCACTGGCAAGTAGGCTTGGAAATCATTTCTTCAGGATTCTGGTGTAGCCAGGCGGTGGTGGTGCACACCTCTAATCCTAGCACTCAGGAGAAAGAGGCAGGTGGATCTCTATGAGTTCGAGGCCAGCCTGGTCTACAAGAGTTAGTTCCAGGACAGCTAGGACTATTACACAGAGAAACCCTGTGGATTCTGGTGTATACTAAAGACCAGGAGAGACATTCAGCCTGGATTCTTAGACTTTCTGTTGGTGGACAGTCATTGTTGAGCTAGCTGGATCCCAGTTTGTAAGACACTCTAATAAATAAATTCCATATATATATATATATATATATATATATATATATATTAAAAAGGCCTGAGCTAGGCAGTGGTGGCACACAGCTTTAATCCTAGCACTCAGGAGGCAGAGACAGGTGAATCTCTGTGTTCGAGGCCAACCTGGTCTACAAGAGCTAGTTCCAGGACAGGCTCCAAAGCTACAGAGAAACCCTGTCTCGAAAAACCAAAAATAAAATAAAAAAGGCCTGAAGACCTAGGTGAACACTGCATCTCAGTAACACATGGTGTGTTTAGAAATCTCAGAAACAAGTACCTTAGATCTGGTGATCAGTGTGTCTCCATGATGCTAAGAATCCTGCAAAGACTGTTGGGTAATAGGCGGATGCATAAATAGGATTACCCCGTTTATCCTTATGGCTGACCTCCCTGTGATCCAGATATTCAGCCATGTATGGTGTTCCCTCCTTGGTCTTCCTACCAGAGGCTTTTAGCTTGGAATTGAATCATGGGGAAACATTCCTACGGTACACACTGGAGGACACTCCACCACCAAACCCTTGGCTTAGACTCTTGAAAACACTGGTGTGTCTGTAACAGGGCCCCAGACCTCTGTAGGCCCCCAGATCTTTGTACTCCACCATGTAAGTGTTTTCTGTGCTCTAAAACTCAGCACATAGACAACACCACCTGCCAAAAATGAAAACCAAGACCTAATCCATCAAAGCCACAGTTCTGGGAAAGTCTCTAAATACACTAGCCTTGCTTTTCGGCTTCCCTAGCTCTGATTCTGGCTAACTTTTCTTGGTAACTGAACATGTCGACCCAGGACATGGTTTTTGTGCTTAAAAGCTCACCCTGAGGAGGGTTCAGGGCTACTCTGGAGTCCTGAATATCCAGTGTAGTTGCTGACTGGCTAATAAAGACTTGCTATTGGCTTAAGCCCATGTCTGAGCAGTCTCCTTTGGTAAATACCCCACAACAGTCGCCAAGCACAAGATGGGGGCGTCCCACCCCAGATAAAGTACGATGAGCCACTGCAGTCCTGTGCAGAGCCTAATTCCTGATCAGGTCTGGATAGACATGCGTAAAAAGCTACACAGTATACCCTGAGAATAAGTGAGGAGCTTGAGCACCAGTGTGTTTCAAGTGATTGTCCTGAACCGTTTTGTTTGTTTTTGTTTTTTAATAGATCTTTCTTTCTTTCTTTCTTTCTTTCTTTCTTTCTTGGTTTTCAAGACACGGTTTCTCTGTGTTGCTTTGGAGCCTGTCCTGGAACTAGCTCTTGTAGACCAGGCTGGCCTCGAATTCACAAAGATCCACCTGCTTCTGCCTCCCAAGTGCTGGGATTAAAGGCGTGCGCCACCATGGCCTGGCTGTTTTATCTATTTGTATTTTATATGTATGGGTGCTTTGCCTACAGTTATCTCTATGCCCCATGTGTGTGTCTGGTGCCAGCAGAGGCCAGAAAAGACCGTTGGAATTCCCAGGACCAGAATTACAGAAAGTTGCAGGCAGCTGTGTGGGTACTGGGACCCAAATCCCCATCTTCTGTAAGAGCAAGAGGAACTCTGAACTGTTGAGATATCTCTCCAACCCTCTGTCCAGAAACTTTTGAGTGACTTCTCCGGGGCATAGCCTGTGGCTATATTAGCAGTATTAATTAATTACGAAAGCAAACCACCAAGTATGAACCGTTCTGCGGACTGTGGAGTTCAGCAGGAGAGCACTTGCCTGGTATTGCTGAGGCCCGCGATTCCGCCTACAACTGCAAAAACAAAGAGACTCAATCTTGATCCTAGGTGAAAGGCGCAGAGGTACTGGTTTGCTCTGGTTTTGACTCTTCTGTAGATCTGATGCTTTCCACTTATAAGCTGAAGAGAGGTCTACGAAGATCTCTCAGTAGATATTAACGTGATCGACTCTGGGTACAAAGGTTGGATTGTTCCTTCTCGCTTACTCTGCTGACTGAACTCGAACAGGCACCATTCTGTTGTCATAATTATTTTTCCACAAAGAAAAAACTTAAAAAGAGGAGCAGTCAAGAGCCCTGACTGCTCTTCCAGACGACCTGGGTCTGGGTCCTAGCACCCACATGTCAGCTCACAGTCCTGGTACAAATATATGCAGGCAGGCAAAACACTCACAGACATAAAATAAAAATAAAGAAATCTTAGCCAGGTGTGTGTGGTCCATCCCTTTATTCCAGCACTGCAGAAGTACACCAGATCTCTGTAGGTTCAAGGCCAGCCTGGTCTACACAGTGAGTTACAGGACAGCCAGAGCTACATAGAGAGATCCTGTCTGAAAGGAAAGAAGAAAAAGAAGAGGAGGAGAAGAGGAAGAAGGAAAGGAGAAGGAGGAGGAGGAGGAGGGGCTGGAGAGATGGCTCAGAGTTTAAGAGCATTGCTTGCTCTTCCAAAGGTCCTGAGTTCAATTCCCAGCAACCACATAGTGGCTCACAACCATCTGTAATGAGATCTGGTGCCCTCTTCTGGCCTGCAGGTATAAACACAGACAGAATATTGTATACATAATAAATAAATATTAAAAATGTTTTTAAAAAAAGAAGAGGAGAAGGAGAAGAGGAGTTGAAGTGTCTCAAGATCCGGCTTCGGAGATGGCTCAGCGGTTAAGAGTGCTTGTTGCTTTCACAGAGAATCTCTGGGTTCTATTCCCAGCACCCATGTTGTAGGCTGTTCCCAACAATCCATAGCTGCAGTTTCAGGGGATCCCACGCCTTCTCACCTCCACAGACACTATTCGTGTACATGGTGCACATACATACATGTAGGCAAAACACTTATGCATATAAAACAAATAAATAAATATTAGACAGAGAAGTTCAGGTACTGGAGAGATGGCTCAGTGGTTAAGGGCATTTGCTGTTCTTGCAGAGGACATAAGTTCAGTTACCAGGACCCACAAGGTGGCTTATAATCATCCATAGGCTCACAAAAGGTGCACATACATACAGGCAAAACACTCATACACATAAAATAAAATGAAATGGGGCTGGAGAGATGGCTCAGTGGTTAAGAGCACTGACTGCTCTTCCAGAGGACAAGGGTTCAATTCCCAGCAGCCACATGGCAGCTCACAACTGCCTGTAACTCCAGTTCCAGGGAATCGGTACCCTCACACAGACATGCGTGCAGGAAAAACACCAATACACTTAAAATAAAAGTAAATTTTTTTTTTTTTGGTTTTTCGAGACAGGGTTTCTCTGTGGTTTTGGAGCCTGTCCTGGAACTAGCTCTTGTAGACCAGGCTGGTCTCGAACTCACAGAGATCCGCCTGCCTCTGCCTCCCGAGTGCTGGGATTAAAGGCGTGCGCCACCACTGCCCGGCTATAAAAGTAAATTATTAAAAAAATAAAAATAGGCCGGGCGGTGGTGGCGCACGCCTTTAATCCCAGCACTCGGGAGGCAGAGGCAGGCGGATCTCTGTGAGTTCGAGACCAGCCTGGTCTACAAGAGCTAGTTCCAGGACAGGCTCCAAAACCACAGAGAAACCCTGTCTCGAAAAAAACCAAAAAAAAAAAAAAAAAAAAAAAAAAAAAAAAAAATAAAAATAGAGCCAGGCAGTGGTGGTGCACGCTTTCAATCCTAGCACTCAGGAAGCAGAGGCAGGTGGATCTCTGTGAGTTCGAGGCCAGCCTGGTCTATAGAACAAATTCCAGGACAGGTTCCAAAGCTCCACAGAGAAACTCTGTCCTGAAAAACCAAAATTAATTAATTAACTAATCAATTAATTAATTAAATTTAAAAATAAAGATAAGTAAGTCTGATTTTTTTAATTAAATAAAAAGTTCAGGGTTATCCTCAACTACTTAGTGAATGTGAAGTTAGCCTGGGCTGCAGGAGACCCTGTCCCCAAAATAAATAAATAAACAAATGTAAAGCAAACAAAGGCAGAGTTGTTGAAGTATTTCTTCTTTGGAGCCCCCCACCCCCGTACTCTCAAAAGTTCTTTCTCATTTTTTTCTTAAAAACCTCTCTGGAAAAAAAAAAAAAAGGAGAATCGAGGCAGGCCAGGTGACACCAGCCTATAATACAACAGTAAAAGAACAGTAAAACAAAGCCTCCTACGTTTTCTAGAGCCTCCCGCTGTTTCTCCACCTCTCTGTACCCTTTCCCTAGCATACCACACCCAGAGGTTGCTTGATACCCTAGCTGTGAACCCCCGGAGGAAAAGCACCCCCACCCGGTTCTCGCCCAGCCCCTCCCCCACACTGTACTGACCGAGACGGACAGATGCAGGTGCTTCGGGAGGCAGGAGGTGGGTGTCTAGCATCCGGAGCCTAACTAATAGTCCTAACAGAGAATCTTCGTGGGATGCCGGGGTCAGATGTCCCTCCAGAATGGGAACCAGGATGCAGGCTGCTATTCCGGGGCTCTGATCAAACCGTTTATTTATAGCGCTGGGGGAGGGCTCCCAACACAGACAGCAGAGCGGCTGATCTGCTGCAATGTCACTGTTAACACTGCCACTGCAGACAGCCAGCACTTGCCATTGCCATCGCCGCAGAGGACAGAGGTCTCTCAGCTGCAGACCCCAGGGGCCGCTGGGCCCCGTGTCAGAGCCTGATGGGCAGCACCATGGAGCCCCCAGGGGGTGCGTACCTGCACTTGGGCGCTGTGACCTCCCCGGTAGGGACAGCCCGAGTGCTGCAGCTGGCCTTTGGCTGTACAACCTTCAGTTTGGTTGCTCACCGAGGTGGTTTTGGGGGTGTCCAGGGCACTTTCTGCATGGCTGCTTGGGGCTTCTGTTTTGCCCTCTCCGTCCTGGTAGTAGCCTGTGAGTTCACGAAGCTCCACAGCTGCCTGCGCCTTTCCTGGGGCAACTTCACAGCAGCCTTTGCCATGTTGGCGACTCTGCTGTGCGCCACGGCTGCGGTCATCTACCCTCTGTACTTCACCCGACTGGAGTGCCCACAGGAGCCTGCCGGATGCATGGCCAGAAACTTCCGCCTGGCAGCCAGCGTCTTCGCAGGACTCCTCTTCCTGGCCTATGCTGCTGAAGTGGCCCTGACGCGGGCACGGCCAGGTCAGGTAGCCAGCTACATGGCTACCGTGTCCGGACTCCTTAAGATCGTCCAGGCCTTTGTAGCGTGTATCATCTTTGGGGCACTTGTTCATGACAGTCGCTATGAGCGCTACGTGGCCACACAGTGGTGCGTGGCTGTCTACAGCCTGTGCTTCATGGCCACCGTGGCTGTGGTGGCCCTGAGTGTGATGGGACACACAGGGGGCCTGGGATGCCCATTTGACCGCCTCGTGGTTGTGTACACCTTCCTGGCCGTGCTCCTGTACCTCAGTGCCGCCGTCATCTGGCCCGTCTTCTGTTTTGACCCCAAGTACGGAGAGCCAGGACGGCCCCCCGACTGCCTCCGAGGCAGCTGCCCCTGGGACAGCCAGCTAGTGGTAGCTATTTTCACCTACGTCAACCTGCTCCTTTATATCGTCGACCTAGCCTACTCCCAGAGGATCCGTTTTGTGCCCGTCTTGTAGCCTGGCCCATCCATCGGGATCCTCTCTCTGGCTATCAAGATGAACTAAGACATGGGAGACAAGAGGGAGGTTGGGGGCTCAGGAAAGTCTGGCAGCGCTAAGAGAAGCAAAGAGGAAGGACAGAGGAGCAGGAAGCCTTGAGCAGGGACGAGGGATAGCTAATGGGCTCTCGTTCTTCCTGTCTCTGTCTCCATCTCTTGTCTATTTCTCAGGTTCCTGACTGTCCTTGGGTCTGGTGATAGTCGTGGTACCGTATGGGAACTTTTGGAGCAGAGGCGATTGTATTTCGTTTTACAGATGGGTACCGTGAAGCTGGAAGAACTTCAAGGTGGGCAGGTATCAGTGTCTTGAGATAGTGCATAGCTGGGGTACTACCAGTTAGAACTCGGGCAGTTTCCTGAGGTCGAAATGGGTAAAAACCAAGCCAAGGACAGCAGCGTCCGGCCATTGGAAGGAACGCTGGAGCTGGAACCTTCTGTTTGTCTGAAGGGGAAGTTTCTAGAACCCCAGGAGTCTCCTTCAGGATGGTTGTGATCGTTTGTAGAGAAACCTGGCAGCAAGGATGGACCTCACCTGTGTCCAGGAGTATCCCAAGGGGCTCAGCCTTTTTTTTTTTTTTTTTAGTTTTTTGAGACAGGGTTTCTCTGTAGCTTTGGAGCCTGTCCTGGCACTAGCTCTTGTAGACCAGGCTGGTCTCGAACTCACAGAGATCCGCCTGCCTCTGCCTCCCGAGTGCTGGGATTAAAGGCGTGCGCCACCACCGCCCGGCTTCCTTTTTTTTTTTTTTAACAGAGAAAAGACTGTGCTGTGGTTCTCAGGTGGCCTTATGTCAAAGGTCAACACCAGAATCACTGTGAAAAGAAGATGGAGCTTTTCCCCATACACCCAACGCAGACTGTGGCCCAGAAGCCTCTGCAGAGCCTACCATGGCAGGCTGGCTTGGTTGGCAGCATTGACTCACAGAGAAGAACCATCTTGGTGTAGCCACTGGGTCATGGAGCCTGGTCACAGGCCCTCCACTTAAGCATCTTGTTAGCCGGTTGCTCCTGAACGCCAGAACGTGCTGGCATCCTCCACTCTAGACTCAGCTTCTCCTGTGGAAGAGCCCGGACTGGATTAACCATGGGAAGCCCTTCAGTTCGTTAACTGACTGTCCCCCCGGTCCTCCAACAGGGAATAAAAGGTGAATGTTTAGACCTTGCCTTCTACCTTTGCTGAGTATCCACACAAGCCCACTCGAGTCTTAAGGGCTATGGTAGATCGCACCACTTAAGCAACCTCCTTTTTTTTTTTTTTTTTTTTTTTTTTTTTTTTGGTTTTTCGAGACAGGGTTTCTCTGTGGTTTTGGAGACTGTCCTGGAACTAGCTCTTGTAGACCAGGCTGGTCTCGAACTCACAGAGATCCACCTGCCTCTGCCTCCCAAGTGCTGGGATTAAAGGCGTGCGCCACCACTGCCCGGCCTTAAGCAACCTCCTTGTTGCATACTCTGAGAAAAGGTCTAAACCAGGTCATTGAGAGGGAGGGGGAGTCCTTGGGGGTTCCCTGGATCCTGGGATAAAGGCAAGGTGTGGCCTTATCTGGGCCTTCTGAAAAGGGGGCCATTCAGGGTGACTCAGAAGACCAAACGCAAAGAAGGAAGGTCAATGTTGGCTCCTTCTCTTCATTCCTAGAGGCACCCAGAGCTCCATGCTGAGGTCTTCAGGGCCCAGATCAGAAGGGTAAAGGGACTGCTGTACTCTCTGGATGGTGGATCCAAGAGCAGTTAGACTCGGGCCTATGAGTCAGCCTTGTGTGGTACTGTGTGGTCCTTTCTGGAGAAGGAATATTTGGGTCAGCCAAAAACTGAGTTGGGACCAATGTCTTACTTGGATGGGCAAGCTTAGGTAGCTTCTGGGCCTGCAGGGGCCCTGAACGATGAAAGCATCGAACAACAGAAGGTCACATCATCAGGGAACAAAGCGATAAAGGAACACGACAGCCACGCACCTCCTGTCTAGAGGGAGACCCTCCTGCTTCTTCCTCTTTTCTTTTTTATTTATTATATTATACATGTATGATGGGGGACACCACAGTGTGTGCGTGGAGGTGAGAAGAAAACTTTGTGGACTTAGTTCTTCTACCATATGTGTTCGGGAGAACCAGCTCAGGTGGTCGAGTTGTTAGGCTTTCAAAGCAACTTAACAATGGCCTTTCTTGTTTTCCTTTTTCCCTTGAGATAGGGTTTCACAATGTAACCCAGGCTGGCCTGCCACTGGACATCCTCCTGCCTCTGCTTCCCTAGTGCTGGGATTACAGGTATGTGATACCTCACCAAGTTTCACTGGTTTTTCTTGGGGGGGGGGTCCCCTTTCATTTTTTCACTAGCTAAAATTCTGAAACATGGTATCTGTCTCTAAATCCCCAGTGTTCTTGCTGTTCAGTAGCCCTTCTGTTCTCAGCATCACATCCACCCTAAATTTCAGAGTTCCGGGGGGAAGGCAGAGGAGAAGAGGACTAAGAGGAAAACAGGAGAGACCCGTCTTGCTCACGCCTTTAATCCCAGCACTCAGGAGGCAGAGGCAGGAGGTTCTCTGAGTTCGAGGCCAGCCTGAACTACAGAGCAAGTTCTCTAGACTACAGAAGTGTCTTTCTTTGGAGGAAAGCATCCGTTTAAATTTTTTTAGTTTACTTTATGTGTATAACTATTTTTGCACATATACATGTACAGACTTGCATACCTGGTGACTGAGGAGTGCAAAGGAAACGTCAGATGCCCTTTAAAAGGAAATCTGGGTGGTGTTAGTTGCCTTATGGATGCTGGGAACACAATCCAGGTCCTCTGCAAGGGCCTGCAAGGGCAACAAATGTTCTTTTTATGTTTGTTTGTTTGTTGTTTTTGTTGTCATTGTTGTTGTTGTTGTTTTTCAAGATAGGGTTTCTCTGTAGCTTTGGAGCCTATTCTGGAACTTGCTCTGTAGACCAGGCTGGCCTCGAACTCACAGAGATCTGCCTGCCTCTGCTCCCCGAGTGCCAGGATTAAAGGCCTGTGCCACCACCACCGGGCGCAACAAATGTGCTGAGCCATCTCTCCAACCCTGGAAAGTCTGAATGAAACACGGAGCTGAGTTTGGAAAACCGAACTTCTAGGCTTTGTGCATAGGTTTGAGCTGTCAACTCGGCATAGTTGTTCCAGCCTTTTCTTAAGAGGGTGAGTGCCGAACCGGCCATCCAGACCTTACCACTGGGTAGTCTTCTAGTTTGGTGGGTGGTCATTATGAGCAACAAGAAGGGATGAAAATCCAAACTTTGCAGGCTAGAGACTCCCTAATGATTTTGAAATTACTTTCTAAAGCAGTTTGTCTTCATCTAAGGCAACAAACACAACAGGAAAAAAAATAAGCAATGTCTAATGGGGGAGGAGGTGATGGGCGCCATACTTTGGTATGATGGGTCATGCATACTTTGGTAGAGTTTGGGGAACCCCAGACTGCTATGCAGCTTTGAGACCAGCAGATGGACCCTGAGCACCTCTGGGGGTTGTGGATGCCCAGAGCACAATATCCCTAAAACCCGTGGCTGGGCAGCTGGGGCACTATAGGAAGGAGGAGGTTCGGGAAGTAATGGGTCTGTGGCTGCAGCGGACGCCCAGCTTTCAAATGAACACTTGCAATGAGATAGAGGAGGGGATCCGTGACTTTTGGGGTACTGATCTGTATTCGCAACTACAACCCACTTCACTGAGGGAGCGGGGAGGCGTGTGGATGATGCAATGCACAAGGCTCCAGTTGCAGCTCTGGATTGGCTAGCTCCCGGAGGCCGCACCGCGCATTGGCTAAAATGGAGGGAGGGCGGGGCTGGTGGGCGTGGGTGCCGCGTGGCAGATACAGAGGACTCGGTACTCGCTGGTGTAGCTTAGCTCAGGTAGCTACGCTGAGGGTAGTGGGATTCCGGGCTGCGGCGATGGGACTTCTGTAATGAATGCTTCGGGGATAGGGCTTCTGGGACCCAAGCTGGAAGCGGACTCGGGACTTGGATGTTGAGGGTACTCTTGATTCCGGGGCCCTTCCCTACAATCTGTCGCTTCGTTTGCAGGTCCCTGAGCCCTTTTCAGAGGGGTCAGAACCTTCAGCTGCAGGCCAGGACTCCTGTCTCTGGTCAGCAAGTGGTTGTATTACGGGGTGTGGGGGAATTGAAACAACTCTTAGCTCGGGCAGCAGAGGAGTAACAAAAAATTAGGTAGGGGGATATGGGAGTGGGGGAGCACCTGGCTGCCGGGAGCGGCCAGACCTGGTTCTGCCCACCCAACTTCTTGCATTCCATCCAGTTTGCAGCTGCCCAGCAGGGTCGGAGTAGCTGTGAAGGTTGTGGGTGCTGGACCTCCGGACATGAGCGTGGGTTTCATCGGGGCAGGGCAACTGGCTTTTGCCCTAGCCAAGGGCTTCACAGCAGCAGGTAGATTCCTCTGGGGCCAGGGAGGGTGCTAACGTGGAGTGTCTGGGTTAGTGGCCTCAGTCTTTTGGGAACTGTCAGGCGCCATATGTTTGGGGTTGCTGTCCTAATGGGGGTGAGGAGTGTTTCTCTGCTGTCTCCTTTCTAAGGATGCAGGGCAGAGAGGCTAGAACCAGCCTTGAGGGAGGAATTCTGTCCCTTTCAGGTGTTCTGGCTGCTCACAAGATAATGGCCAGCTCCCCGGATATGGACCAATCCACGGTCTCTGCCCTCCGGGTAGGTGCCAGGTGGACGCAGATAGGAAGTCTGACTCTCTTACGGTTAGGGTCTAGTTACGGTTAGGGTCTAGGGTTAAGGGTGAGGGCCAGAGTGGGGAGCAGCTGGAGCCCCCCCCCACTCCAGTGGGAGAAGCAAACCTGCCATAAGGAATCTCCAGATGCTGCCTCCCTGCCCTGTCGTGAATGCAGCTGGTAGAAGAGGGTGTTGGTCTAGAATGGGATTGCCTAGGTAGGGGTTAAAGGAGCCTGCAGATGGCCAGGCAGCCCTGAGACCAGATAATGGACCAGGGGTGGTGGTGAGTACAGCTTCTGTTTGCTATGGCTCAGTCAGGATTGCAGGCCAAAGACGTGGGGGTCAGGCTCCTGGCTTGAGATCCCCATCCACCTCTGGAAGGTAGGCAGCTGCAGAGACCGCAGCCATTGTAGCCTCATGTAGGATGGGCTGAGCTGCGGTTTAGAAGGCTTTTTGGCTTCAAAGGGGAACATTCCAGAGCCTAGTGCCTTTTCCATGTCTGGGTAAGGACAGCTGAGTGGGTTTTGACCCCCAACCCAGCTGGCACCACAGCCCAGCAGCCTTTGGGCTTCTCTCGGCTCAAGGCTCTCGGCTTTGTGGGTAGACAGCCCATGAGGCAAGCTGAGTCCCCTTGCATTCCTGCAGAGGATAGGGGTGAACCTGACATCCCGCAACAAAGAGACAGTGCACCACAGCCCAGCAGCCTTTGGGCTTCTCTCGGCTCAGGGCTCTCGGCTTTGTGGGTAGACAGCCCATGAGGCAAGCTGAGTCCCCTTGCATTCCTGCAGAGGATAGGGGTGAACCTGACATCCCACAACAAAGAGACAGTGCACCACAGCGATGTGCTCTTCCTGGCGGTGAAGCCACACATCATCCCCTTCATCCTGGACGAGATCGGTGCTAACATCGAGGACAGGCACATTGTGGTGTCCTGTGCGGCAGGTGTCACCATCAGCTCCATTGAAAAGGTGGGTGCCATCGACCCCGGCTCCATCGGGCTTTGGGGAGGGTGTGGTCGGGAGCTCTGCTCTGCGGGTCTGGCTTCTTTACCTGCTCACAGGGCATAGCAGCCCAGGCCACAGCAAGACCTCGGGAAATGTTCAGCTGAGGAAGCAGGTCCACACTTGCTTCCATGCCTGGGGTGAGCGCAGATAGCCAAGGCCAGAGTAAGAGAGCTGGTTTCTCTTCCAGAAGCTGACAGCGTTCCAGCCAGCTCCCAAAGTCATTCGCTGTATGACCAACACCCCAGTGGTGGTGAGGGAGGGTGTCACTGTGTATGCCACAGGCACTCACGCTCAGGTGGAGGATGGCAGGCTCGTGGAGCAGCTGATGAGCAGTGTGGGCTTCTGTACCGAGGTGGAGGAAGATCTCATCGATGCTGTCACCGGGCTCAGTGGCAGTGGCCCTGCCTATGTGAGAACTGGACAGATGGGGGGGTGGTCGGGGCTGTGGGCGGTTTCCAGGGCCTCTGTGT